GAAGAGCGGACTGCAGCTGACCCCTTGGCCAGGTCTGTGGTGGCGGAAAGGAGTCAAGGGACTAGGAATAATCCCGGTTAAAGGCCAGGGGATTGAAGAGCAAGAGTCTGGCACATGGCGGGGTGTAGTTTGGTGACTTCGCCAACTGGCCACAGCGTCCAGGTGTGGACTTGGTCCTCTATCTGTCACCCGGCAAGAGTATGATTCCTTGTGGTCAAGGTGCCAGAGAAAATGAAGCCGGGGTGTGGCAGGGGTGTTGGGCTGATGGGAGCTTCCAAGGTGTGGACCAGGCTACCTGCTTCTCTGCTGGAGCTGTAGGAGGACTATGTTGTTGTTGTTGTTGTTGTTGTTAACATCTCTGGTTGCTGGAGAGCATCGTGACCAGGTGTCGCTGAATGTGTGTGCCAGGCCATTGAACGCTGTTAATGGGGAGAGAAAGAGAGAAGGAGAAGAGTTTCTGTGGGTCAAGTGGTACCTCCTTTACTTGATACCATGACCAGGTGGATAGGGAGGGTGGGAAAGTGTGGAGGTACCATGCCAACTGGGGAATATGTGCCAAGCACTGGCCACATTTTGTAAGTGTGTCATTGGATGCTATGGTCATATTGTCTGACGGGCTATGTGTTCTGGCGGTATTACATCCTCCTTGGAGCTATTGTATGCCCAGGTGATTATCGTCCTGACTTGGTGAGCACTGGGTAGTTTGTGAGAAACGGGTATGTGGGAAGGGGCTTTCCCCTTCCTTGTCACCTCCCCAGTCTTAGAGAGTCACCCTCCTGCATTGTCCTTTTCAAAGGAAACTCTTTTACTAGATCATGGGGAAGGGGTGTGAAGATGGGCTAGGTTTGTCCAAAGAGGAGGATGAATGAAAAATGGGTGGATAAGGGGAGTGTGCCACCTGTAGAGGGGCACTGCCTTGGGCATTTGAGGGAGGGGCAGTACTCTTGAGGTACAGATGGGGCCTTCCATGACCCAGAGGCCTGTACTACTTTGAGACGCTTGAGAAAAGGTCGCATCTCTGGGCAGGCTTGTACTCCCTGGCTTGGAGCAGGTACCTTGATATTGTACCACCTTGGCATTGTACCATGCTCGCTCCTGCTGAGATGGTCTCTCCAGGAATTCCTCCTCCCTCCGTCCCTCCTCCTCCCAACCAGCTGCTGTTAGGAGTGAGGTGTGATGGGGGTTTTATACTGTGAAGACAAAGAAGGACTCTTACCCCGTGAATAGCGTAAAGGGGGAGAGTAAAGGCGGAGAAAAGGGGGGGGGAGGTTATTCTAAAAAAGACAAATTGTAGGGAGCTGTTTGGAAACAGGATATGATGGAGAATGCCGGGGATTCCGGTAGACAGAAAGCAGTAGGGCGTTGAAAAGCAAAGCCTGGCAGAGGGCCTGGGAGTTTTGTGTCAGTGGGAAGAAGACCACACCTCCCCGAGTAGTCTAGCTGGCTCGGAGAAATGCCACCTATTGATCTCTGTGGTCATCTCTCTCTGCAAAGCCATGTTTTCCTTTTAATAACCCAAGCTCTGTCAGGCATCTCGGCTATGGTCCCCAGTAGCCTCGGCTGGAGGTCTGAAATGCATAAGTAATGCACTGGTTTGCAAAGGGATAGATTTTGTGTGTGTGTGTGTGTGTTCTGTTTTTTCCCTTGTGCAAGAGATACTGTAGTGCTGGCAATGGGAACGTCTTCCTAAGGGTCTCCGTGCCCTAGTTAGAGGAGCTGGAATGTAGGGAGCTGACATATCCAGGAGCATTTTGCAGGATGAAAGGAAGGTGGGCTTTGTTTACTGTGAAAATCCCTGTGGGTTTGAGGATATGAGAAGCAAGACCCTGTCCCTTCTCCGAGCTGTTTCATCCTTCCCTCCTGGGGACTCGCTTAAATACAGACAGACACAGGAGTGGAGATTAGGGTTTTCTTTTGTGGTGGAATTTGTAATTAATCATGTTCTTGGAGATCAAGCCACCGCAGTATTTAATATTGTCAATTCCCCATGCAGATTATCTAGGACAGAGAAGGTGTATTCCAAATTGGTCTTGATGGCGCAACTTGGAAAAGTTGGGCTCGTAGTCTGGGGAGTTGGTGTTAGGCTTCCAGAGCTGGAGGTGAAGGCGTTTTGAAGAGGCCAGTATTGCACGGAACGTTTTTTTTCCTAGATGGAGGCTATACCTGTGAAGTGGTCCTGAGAAGTCCATGGACAAGGGGACTGTACAGGATTATTTGCAGAAGGTGAAGACGGTTATGGAGTCAGACAGAACTGTATTCTTTTTTTAAAATTCCAGATTACTTAATCTGGTATCGACCTATCCCAGCAGCCTTTCACAAGCAGGACTTGGGGGGGAGGGGGGAATCAGTGCACCCTGACTATCAGTACAACATGATGCTTCGACTGTGTCAAGGCATTACTAATCTGTATTGCTCTACAGATGTGTGCATTTGTCTGAGCAGAAGTGGGAGAGTCCTCCAGAAGGGTTTGGTGGTACAGGCGGGAGAGAAGTGGTTGAGTCTCCCTTATGAGTAGGGTGTGTTGACTCTTGCAGCTGAGAGGGAGAGAAGTTGGGACACTGAAGCATGGATGAAATGTTGCTTCTGAATCCTGCACTTTGCATGCCAGTGACATGTCATGGTCCACATTGAGATGAGGGAGTCTGTTGTATGGAGAGTGCCACTGATTTTCATCTGAATAGATGGATAGAACAGAAGCCAGGGTGTGGTTTGTTTATGGCTCTGTGGCTGTATGTGTTTAGCTGGAAAGAACAGAAGCCAGGGTGTGGTTTGTTTACACCTTTGTAGGGTGTGGTTGGTTTATGGCTCTGTGGCTGTATGTGTTTACAAATGCATATGTGTGTATTTGGGCACATTGTTTTGTGTGCATTGTTGGTGTGTGGAACTGTGTGTGAGCCTGTGTGAATACCAGATTTTCTTTTTGGACAGGTCTGTTTATACACAGGTTCAAAAACGGTACTTGTGAAGTTCTGTATGTGAAGTTGAGCATATATTTTCCTTTGTCTGCACATTCATGTCTGTTTGCATTGGGGAAAGATCGGAGTATTTTTACCTCTGGATGTTGTGGACATATATATGTTTGTAGGCACATCTAAATGTAGATATTTATATTTACTGTACTTATTCCCATGTCCATGTGCTTCTCGTCAATGAAGATGCATGTGTGTTTATGTATGTCCATGCAGTCAAATTCCCGTCTTCAATGTACATATGAATGTGCGTGCCCTGATTCCCTTGTATTAAAATAAAACTAACTTGGGTGTGGAAGGAGAGTGTAGATGTGTCCATGTGGTGTTGAACGTGCTATCAAGTGGCAGCCAACTTATGGCGACCCTTTAAGGTTTTCAAGTCAAGAGATGGACAGAGGTGGTTTTCCATTTCCTGCCTCTGCATAGCAACCATGGACTTCCTTGGTGGTCTCCCATCCAAATACTGATTGGGGCTGACCCTGCTTAGCTTCACAGATCTTAGGAGAACAGGCTAGCCTGGGCCATCCAGGTCAAGGATGCTCACATGGATAGATTTATTTGCTTCTGTATTGGTACCGTCCCTTGGCATTGGGTGGTGTCCACATGTGTGTGCCCATGTGCTTGTACTTCCACATGGCCATGCATCAACTTGGATGTGCATTTGTTAAGCATATGTATTTCATGCCTGCCAGCAGTTGATCTGCCATGCCCTGGCTGGCATCTCTGTAGTGTAGCTTGAGCCAGGATTCACAAATGCTTAGTTCCCAGAACTTGAGTGATGTGATGTAATTATATTGGGCCAGCCCAAGGCATTTTAATGCCTGAAGCTGAGAGCCACCAAATGGTACCTCTCCTCTCTGTCACTAATTAATATGGAGCAAAATCCACCAGGAAGTTCTGTTGTGCCAGCTTCCTTGAGCTGAAGGAATTGTGCATGCGCTTCAGGAGAGATCACGTTCATTTTAGCAGGGCCTATGCAGGAGATTCCATGGTAGATTGGATCCCATAGATCACATCTGTCCGTTGCCTATTCTGCTCTGTCGCAGCCAGATCCTGGGTAGGTTTACTGAGCAGTAAGTATGAGGATGGACTGTAGCTCAGTGGAAGAGACTTTGTTTTGCATGCCAAAAGTCTCAAGTTGAATCCCCGGGAACTCCAGTTCAAAGAATCAGGTGGTAGGTGATGTGGAAGACCTCCATCTGAGACAGTGGAGAGCTGCTGCCAGCTTGAGCAGACAGTACTGACCTTGATAGACCAAGGCAGCTTCATGTGTTCACACACAGGATGGAAGCCCTCTTCTTTGGAGAGGGGGCGTGGCTCAGTGGTAGAACATTTGCTTGGGAAGTGGAAGGTCCCAGGTTCAGTCCCCGCCATCTCTAGTTAAAAGGGACCAGGTAGTCGGTGGGATGAAAGACCCTGGAGAGATGCTGCCGGACTGAGTAGACAATACTGACCCTGATAGTACAGTGCTCTGATATGGTATAAGCAGTGTTCCCTCTAAGCTGAGTTAATGTGAGCTAGCTCACAGTTTTTTAGCCTCCGGCTCACACACTTTTGTCTTAGCTCAGGGAGGATGGCTCCGGAGCAAACTAGTTTATGCAGCAGCCAAATCGCTCGCTCACAACTTTCATGCCAGTAGCTCCCAAAGTAGAATTTTTGCTCACAAGACTCCACGGCTTAGAGGGAGCACTGGGTATAAGGTATCGTCAGGTGTTCAAGCCCCACTGTGTTCAGCTGTGTTTACTCCTAATTAAGTGTGCACAGGCATTTAAACTGCCTTCTCTTGCCTCATGGGCTGGTTCACACCCGATAATACAAAATGTGAATGCCGGGAACAGATGTTTTGCAAGCACATATAGTGTACCGATATGCTTGTTAGGGA